TTTGTGTTAGATTTAGATGAGCAGTGGGGCAAATTAACATCATAGCCTTCATTATAAAAACATGTTGGAAAATGAAAATAAAGTCTTTTTTGACATTCAAATGTCTTGCAAGCTTCCATGTGATCTATAATGCAATCTTTGAAATAATTTATTTTTAATTTATTATTACATCACACCATGGTTCTGAACCAGTCAGGATTCCCAGTATGTTTGTCTAACGTTTTCAGTATTTTTAATTTATTGGTATAGTCCAGACCTCTCACCTGCATTTTGTTATAGTACTCACTATAACAGCTGATGTATAATGATATTGATAGAATATTTCTGTCACAGACATTTATCTCTTTTATTTCAGCATCCCATAAGAGGCCAGAAAGAATATTTTTACTTTGATTTCCTAATTTCTGTAAGTGACACAGAATCATCTCACTATCAAGATAGGTTCCCCAGTCAGGCTGGATACCTGTCAGTTATCAGCTCTTCAATCAATTTTATATTTATAATTAATTTAGTAGGATCTGTAGAATTTTGTTTTCTCTTTGACATTATAGAATGTTTTGTGTCAATCAATGGCAAAAAGGCCCAGTTATGATTCTATATTATAACACAATAAAATGTGAAAAGGACCAAGGGGGGTGAATACTTTTGTTAGCAACTGTACTGTAGGTATGTGCAAAGACTCTTACTCTGAACATCTGAGCTTTCCAAGTGTTTGGCTGGATGGAGCATTGATATGGTCGTATTATTCCCCACTATTGCAGGGATAGCTGTGCATCGTGTTGAAAAACCATTGCTGACTGTCCTGCTACATGTCAGCATGGAGGCTGATTGATGCCTTTGCTGTTAAGAAGCAGAGCTGTGCACCCAAGTAATGCAACAGGAAAATAGGAGCAGATGGTCAATCTGTAACTTATGCACGACCTGTAGGTTTCTATAAAGAGCTGTGGCATTTCCATATATTGTCATACTTTTATATTTCACATATCAGGGCTAGTTAAAGGTTACCTGACTCTGGCGAAGTAGAAATAGAAATAAAGAAATTAAAAAATCAAATTATACATTACTCAGAACTGGGTAGTCACATGGCAAATGCAGTATTCAGAAAAAGAAAAAGTCGGGTAACCAGTGACATTGATGTCTAAGCTGGGGTTTTCACTATGAGCTCTAATATTAATTTCTCTTGAAACAAATACTGCTATATTCAATACCTATGCTTTTGTTTTTAATAATGTCAAAGTCAAGTCTGCCCTCATGGGTCAATAAAAGAAGTTAAGAGTGCTAACCCTCTTAATTTTGAAAAGGAAACAGTATTAGCACAATTGCCATAATCACTCTACCAACTGGTTTCACTTTGACTTCAGTGTCTGGAGTCAATGCTTGATAGTCAAGATAAAAATCAAATAACTTTCTGTGAAAGAAAAGCACACAACTTTGAATCTGAATAAGAAGAAGTCTCAGACATAATAGCACCAGACGTTGGGCATGTTACAATGAGCTTTTTGGAATACATTGATGAAGAAGGAAACCAGACGTACAGTGTGATTACAGCCATTCCCAGCACAGGCAAGGAAAACAGCTGTAGTTGATGGCAGTGAAGTTATCAGAGATAAAGGGGAGAAGGTACAGTATCAACACCCACAGTTCGCGGACTGGGAAAGCAGAATTACAAAGGCTGTTCTGCAAGATGTAAGCCTCTCATTTGACTGAGAACAGAAAAGACAGATCGGAATTTGTAAGGAAACCCCCTCATTTGTAAAGCATGATGCAGGTTATGTCATGGACTGGATTTGCATAGCAGCCTCTGCAACTGGTCCACTCTCCTGTATTGACAATGTAACTAAAGATACTGGCACAAAGAAATCTTAAATTGACACACAAAAAAACATCAGTTCGTGTAAAACAAAATGTTTTTGTACTTACTGGGCTGTACTTCACCCCGCAGCCTGACAGTGACCCAAAACTATAGCTCATGCATCCAAGGAGTTTATCAGGGGATAGAAGTTAAAACTATGACTATTCAAGTCAATCTCAAGATTTAAATCCAGCAGAGCATGTATTTTACAAGTGGAATAGAATCAAGTGAAATCTTGAACACTCTGAGAATAGGAGCCACCTCAAAGTGGCTCAGAAAAAGCCTGGCCAACCATTTCAAATGATTAAGATTTTGGGGAGCTTAATGGGTTTCCTTATGATTTATCGCCTCAAAAGGACAGGCAGCCAAATACTGATTTTTACCTCTGAAATTTACTTGAAGTGAATGTTCCACAGTACTTATGGTCACTTGTAATCATTGGGCTTAACACAGACTATGGCTTTGTTGTTATATGATTTTATGCATGGAATTACCCCAAAAATAAAGTACTTGTTACATTGTACATAGCATTCATATTAACGATCACAACGATAAATAGAAATTGCTTGAGTGTAAAGCAAAAACAACAGTTCTGTCTTTCTTGTCCCAGTAACTTTGCGCTGTAGGTCTTTGTCGATTTGTCCTCACCTAGATAGTATGGCAAAGCATTTAACAGGCTGACACGTCACAAAGTCCAGGGTCCAACATAACACAAAGAGCTAGGGACATATCCAACTGTAGGTTAGGAGGAAACGTGTGAAGTACTAAACATAGGGACTGCTTCTTTACAGAAAGACAAGAGCATCTCCAATAAAGCTTTCCAGCCTTGCTATTGAAGTAAAGTTATTCTCTGGCATCCCTCAAGCCACATTCAGCAGAATGAACAGTTGTATTGTATGTCGGTGTGTTCAGTTTGGGTTCTATTTGACTTCTGAGCAGTGTCCACAACACAGAGAGAAGAAAACAATTGTTCGAGACCTTACAATTGCGAACTGAAGTTCGCAGTTGTACAGTAATGCCGCAATGAAGGTAATTAGAATAATAAAAAGTCAATCCATCCACATTTAGCATGCTACATCTTCAATTGTACTATCGTGGTTGATTTTGCTATTGCATGCTTGATGCTATCTTCTCATGTCCACACAAGTATTTCAGCCTTCCGTCTGAAAACTGTTTCCTAAGACATCCTGAAACACTATGTGCCGCATTAACTCGAATTGTAAAAATAATACCAACGTTCCAGTAAACTCACAGAGAGAGTGTAATTGAGTCTTCCTCCTACAGTGCCTTAAAAATAAACTGTCAAAACCAATTGGTTATGAGAAATGTTTGTTTGTGTCGCTTGCTCTATTTCATATAATTGCTCTGTTGTGAAAGAAGAAAAAAGTCAGACTACATATACCATGCAGTTCTTCTATGACTCATCTCGTTTGCTGTATCTCTGTACTAGAATATCTTTGTCCCAGAGACGTCCTGTCAAAGATTAATGGTGCTGATGAACAGGACGCCACCTACCGTTCCCAATGTGCTAAAACCTGTTAGATAACGAGAACAATTATCCCTTTAAATGCATTTTAAATATAAGACCGGTTTGGAAAAAATGCTAAATTATCCGTTGAGTTAAAACAAACATACAATAGAATGAGTCCTAATTATAATCTCCCAAATGATGTGTACCATACACCACCCCGATTTCTGTTATTGAAGTATGTGATGTGTTTTTGCTTTATATGTTTGAAAAAGAACGCATATTTACATATGTATATGTATGGATTACAAATTAAAGGACGATAATACCACGCAATAGTTAACTACTTTATCATTCTTGCCATAATTGCTAAATGCACACGTCACCTCGTTTCTCAGGAAATACAGCATAATGAGTCAGATCTCTAAATATTATTTTGCTTTACTCACCTTTTATTAATTTATATTTAATATCTGACTCATGATCTGAAAACAACACAGGATCACCTATTTGAAAAACTGATTAAGATGATAATGAGTGAAATAAATCTCTGTCATATGGGATTAACACATTCAATTCACGGGCTGGCAATGAAAAGCGTCTTCTTCATCGAGACCAGCTATTACAGTCTATTTCTATTATTGAGGCTCAGTCCGTGTTTTTAGAGCATTAGAGCAATGGAGTCTGAAATACTCTCTAAAAACACAGCCACGACAAAGAGATGCAGCGATTCCTAAGAATGAAACTTGTACAGTGTGACGCGTGAAACGAGTTCTCAGATGGATGAGAGGAGGTTTTGTGTTTCTACTTTTCTACTTCAGGAAATGCAGAACTGGTTGAAATGGTTGTTTTTGCCTATTGACAGAGCACCGAACACGTTTCTAACAGTATTCACAGAGCTGCTCCTCTGTTATTCCTCCTGTGGAATAGAAGAAACGTCAAAAGTTTGTCAGTTTGCATGAAGAAAAACAGTCACAGTGCATGGTTCGCCATTAACTAACATTCAATAAGCAAAAATACTCGGATTGTGGATTGGAAATTACTTGATTAAATTATTTATACTTGTATGGTATTTTACAAGATAATCTAAACTTGCATCCACACAGAATGGTTCGTTTCTAAATCAAGATTTGAAAGCGCTTGAGACAATAGCGCTGATCATGTCTTAATACACAATCAAAATAAGCAATGACGGATATACAGTACAGAATAAGAGAAGAAAAAAAACAACGTGTTATAAACAACTTGTGATGTATACACATACTGTATACTCTAGAAGCTTAGTTCTTTTTTCCTGTAAGATTTAACGCCAAACGGATGGATGAAACATAATCAACCTTTAAAATCAGATCACTTTCAGACGGGAAAACAATCTCGAAACATTTACTGTAGAATGAAAGAGCACGGAAAACTGCGAAATATTTATCGGGCTGTGACACAATGAGTAAAGTAGATTTTTTTTTTTGTAGCGAAGTAGTTCAGGTGTGTAGCTGCGCCAGCATGCGTAGACTGCAAAGGAACAAGTAAAGGTTTATTCCATGCTGAAAAGAGACGAAAGGAAACACAACATTACGGAAGGCTCCACAGCCGAAACATTGTGTTTCCTTTCTTCTCTTTTCAGCGTGCAATAAATCTTGACTTGTTCCTTTCTTTTTTTTTTTGGAGCCAAGTTATTTTTACAAACTGCGAGTATCGAACTTTGGGAAGAACTGCTCAAGCCTTTACGGTTTCATTTTCAGTACCAAGGACAGAGACAAGTAATTTCTGTTTATTTTTGACCACAGGATGCGAAAACGAATGTTCTAGGATGCTCAGGCGTTAAAGAAGGACTGATGAACAACCCAGACAGAGCCAGGTGAATCCTAATTGAGAAAGCGATCGATTTCTTCTTCCGTTATCTGAAAACTTCACTACAGTTTCGGCGAGAGACGTTCATTCAAATAATGGGGAAAGCAACAAACGGTGGCACTTCTTGTGCGTAGAATTACGTCACGGCGATCGGACACAAACTTCTGGAAATAATTGGACTCCTGTTGCGGAATAAATTTGCCCACCAGCTTTTAAAATTCATTGTTCATTCAGGTGTCTACCCATGCAAATCACTGCGCAGACGCAAGATCTGAGCTCAGAGCGTGACACTTGTCACAGGTCTTGGGGTATAAAAATCCAACATCCAGGCTTTCTTTGAAGAAGTAGTTCGTTTACAGGTGTCTTTACAGACCGGTAGCAAACCTGGAAGAAAACAGCATCTTAACTGTGAGCCTTATCTGGTCACCAGCGTCCACGGACATACGTACGGCCATTCTCTTGTAATTCAGGTACGGGAACTTGAAAACTATCTTTTAAGAGCCTCGTAATTTTGTGGTGCAATACGTTGTTTATAATAAGTGTTTAAATAGCGACAGAGAAAGTGTCAGTGTTATACGTTTATTATTTCTTATTTCCGAAACTGAAGGTGCAGGAAGCTAGGAAGTCAGAAGTGTATCTGTTTTTAATACTGTTTTAAAACACAGTGTGAGACTCCGACACTGCTATTTGGTGTCACGGATTAATTTATTTTTTATACAAGTAGAAATCTAGTTTTGTAACACCAACAGATTCCTACATTTTAAAGTTTTCATCCACAGGTTATTAACATTGGAAATTCAAATGTATAAGAAGTATGGGCCTTTATAGTAGGGAATATACAGCTGAATGTGTGTTGTGTACTGTACATATAAATTTGCCTTCGTATTGCTTTACCTTATTCTGTATGTTTTTCAAAGGAAGGGAAAACACTTTAAAATGATCATTCTGAATTTTTGGCATACTGTAGATTTTTTTTTTAATATTGCACACATTAACAAACAATTTGGAGCATCTCAATCTCTATACAAATTATTTCTGGCTGAAGCGCCTACTGTCATAATGATAACTGTTGATCTGCTGTACATATCAGTACAATTCAGTCAATATCTTTGATGCCTGTAAACCTCGGAAAGGCAATAAAAATATACACAGAATGTCCACTCTCCAACACGAAACGCCGAATGACGTTTTTCGGTAGGGTGAGAGTTTTGTTTAACGTAGTTCTTTTGGTGTCTGTTTGGAAACACGCAAACTTAAGTTTTTAAAACAAAAAAAAAAATCGAATCTCTTTCCTCTTCAGGTTCCCGCTGATATCCTGTCATGAAGCTCAATTTCCTTGTTTCTACTGCTATCCTGCTTGTTGCCTTCCTGCCGCGTCATGAATGTAGAGCTATCGAAAGCCCGGGGGCTGTCCAGTCCGGTCGGGGTTCCGAATCTGAGCTACAGGAGCTTTCCCTTCCGCTTTTGGTGAGACTGGGAGAGGAGTATTTCATTCGCCTGGGCAACGTAAATCAGAATCCCCCCTCGTACCTGCCCAACATGTCCCCCGATGCGTCCCCGGCTAACGTCAACAGGGCTTTCCAGATGCAGCTCACACAGCGTCTCCTGCAAGGCAAAGTTGGTCACCCCAACCGGCTTCTGAGCAGCCACGATGACCAGCTGGAAGACCTGACGGGAAGAGGGAAGCGGTCCGAAGAGCCTCCCATTTCCCTGGATCTGACCTTCCACCTGCTACGAGAAGTTTTGGAAATGGCCCGGGCGGAGCAGCTTGCCCAGCAAGCGCACAGCAACAGAAAAATGATGGAAATCATCGGGAAGTGAACGTGACACAGCTCCATCTGCCAAAGAAGTTTTACATCTAGCACAAAATACACAGTATCCTGTACCATAGCGCTGCTTTTACATTATTTATTTTTTATAGCTTTAAACCTCAAACGAAGGAAAATGATGAGGAATCGTAGCCCGCTCGATGGTTGGTAATCAGACTGGCTCATACATGCAAGATAAATGCGTCATTTTAATTTGTATAACTGTTGTAACAGTGATATTACAAAACCGTAGCATTTACACAAAACCTTTCACATTTTCAAAACAAAAAAAAACCAATATATTTTAAGTAGAATTGTAGGAAATTCACTAATTTCAGAACGCCGTATTCAGAAATGGATGCCCTCTCTGAAATTCAGTTTCCCTGTAATCTACCTTGTTTACGTTTGATAATAAACATAATATGAGCAACGAGTCATTTTTTTGTTGTGCAAGAGAATGTCTAATATTTATATTTTTAATAAAAGCTTGAAAGTTACGTTTACATTTCATTGTGTAAATTCTTGAGTGCCAACACCTCTCACAACGTGCACCAGAAGTGTGTCATTAGGTGTTTTACCAGTGGTATTTTCAAGGTTGAAAGTGTTAACTTGGCATCCATTCATTCACAAGCAATTTCATTACATTCTTTAGCCATGTAGAATGCATCAGCTGTTTCAGACAAGGTGTTGAATTGCTATAAACCCCAACCCGCTCTTTTCAGTCACATCTCCGTCATATCGTGCGTGTACCTAACGGTACAGTTAATACACCAGCACAGCGAGGCACTTGTCTTCACCAGTCGCTCCTCGCTTGTTGTAGGCTCCATGTCTGGAGGACAAGGCGAGCTACTCTTTAAGGGAGTTTAACCAGGAGAAGGAGAAGACGTGCCGAGGTCCGTCGCCGCCTTTGTCTTCTGCGTTTTGTTGACTTTCGCTCGGTCCGCCGGCCGCAATCTCAGAACCAGCCTGTTTAAAAGGAAGCGAGGAAATATTGGTGTATTTTCAATATCCCATTTGCTGTTTTTCCACTGCAAAGTTAACAAAAGTTAACTACATTACTCTAGATATTTTGTTGGTTTTGGTACCCTTACGTTGTTATTTAGTTTGAACTTGAAACCTTATATTTACTATGGCTATATTAATTCTAGTAACGGCGGCTTGCTTAATAAAGGGAATTTTTCTCATATTTCTGGAGTAAGATAAAATTATATTTCTGACATATTTTATAACGTTGAAAAACTCTTTCTTTTTTGAAAATGAAGTTAAGCTGCACACAAATATCGTCGCCTACAGTTATGTCAGAGGTAGAAGCGGTTGTGTGCACTCAGTAAACACACCAAGATACTGAAAGGCGAGCGCTGCACACGGGAGCAAATCGTGTACAGTATAACGTATCGTTGTAATCGCCTACGCTACAATTGAGGTAGTTTATACTGCAAATTTGTTCCGCTTCCAGCCCTGCCGACCCAACGTTAAAAGCCCGAGCCTAAATTGTTACCAGGTAAGAAAGTATTGTATAAAAATCAGCTATTATTTTGTTTTTTAGTAACATCAGCTCTGAAAAACACATACTGTACTAATAGACAATGACGGAAAGAGAGAGAGACGCTTTAGTATTTTGTTCTTACATCTTTTGAGGGGTGTTTGATTATGAATAAAACAATGAGGAATAATTTGTGGATAAATCAGATGGACCATACAGCTACACTTGCAGGTTCTTAGTGCACCCATCCACTGGATAATTACTTTATTCAATTCAGGGTCGCAGGGGAGCCCAAGCCCAGCAAGCAGCAGACACAAGGCAGGTATACGATGGACTGGGATGCCAGTCCATTACAGGGCACACATTGACACAGACTCACATCAGAGGCAGTTTTTCCAGAAGCCAATTAGCCTACCAGCATGCTTTTTGACCATGGGAGGAAACCCATGCAAACACAGGGGGAACATACAAACGCCATGCAGATAGCACCCCAGGAATTGAACCCAGGGCCCCAGCACTGCAAGGGAGTAATGGAACCACTGTGCCACTGTGCCACCTATCTGTCCCTTAGTATCCAATTATCCTATATAAAATGCACATGATATGGTTTGTATGTTTTCAGCCATTTATTTGACACACTGCACAGATAACATTAATATGTATAATGAATTTCATCATAAAATATATCAGGGAAATCTACGATAGTGGCTCCATATTATTAATAATATGCCTGATTTAAAAAATAATTTACTTTACTTTGAATCATGTTATATATTTAAATCTACTGGGCCTCACAGAACGTTTTGATTATTGCTTGAAGATATTACTTCCACATAAGACTGTATATTTATAAAACAGAAGTTCCCGCAAACAATCCACTCAGAAACTTATTTACTAGCTGTAATGTCACAGCTGAAAGGGGAAAGCAGTTTGCTAAAATAAATAAGGTTATGTTATAGTCTCTCTATAAGAGGCACTAACCTACTAGATTCCATAAGTATAATGGTGAGGTTTTTGTTGAGTCTCTTTAAGAGCGTATCTCTGAATGTCATCCTCTGACATCTCTCCTACTGTAGGCGTTTTACCATAAAACTCATGAAGTCCTGGTCCAGTCCTGGTCCTAGACGGCTGGTGTGTCCACAGCTCTCAACGGCTAAAGCAACTAATTATTAGCTCAAGTAAGCCTATTTAACATCTTCCCATACAAGTGGTAAGAAGTCTGGCAGAGTAATACTGTGACTGCCTGCCAAACTGGATTAGTCAAAGGACTGGGCGATGGTTACAAATGCCAGTTTTATGACTTTAATACTCTTGATCACTCATCCTAATGATTCATTTCCACAAAATGGGTGTGACGCCTCTTCAGAATGTGAGGTATAGCTTTACATTCAACTGCAGCACTCTCTGCTTCTATCCTGATCTCATAGGCAAGGCTGAGTCTGGTGAGTACTGGGATGACTGATCAAGGAATACCAGTTTGCTGTTCTAAGTGGTGATCATGAACCACTAGCAGGGATAAAAACTTTAAACTATATAGAGCACAGAAACTAGCTCAAGACCACTGGACTGTTGACTGTCTTATCCATGCAACCATATCTATCAAACTGGCTGCCAAAAATTCCCTAGAAAAACCAACAAAAAGAGACCCAGATTCCAAGTGGCAGAAGATGTCACACCTACATTAAAGGAAAAGTGTAGCAGGCTAGGCTATAGAGAGAGTAATTTACCACAAAAGGACATCACATGTATTCTACTACCTGTAAATAGGATCGCCAGGTGGTAATTTGGCATTAATTATATTACTGGTGATGATTTATTTACACATTCTTACACAGAACTCACTAACGGTGTGTTTGGAATGAATGGGTTTTACAAGTGTACAGTAAGTCAGCGGCTGGATTTTCTGTTTTTATTCTGTAACATTTCTGTTACTGAACAACTCCCACAATGGGTTTTCAGACTCTCTAGCGGCAGGACTGACAATATTTGTTTTTAAACATCCTGAATACTGAAATTATACCATCAACGTTCTTTGCAGATTTTACACATCACATGGCAGGATGGAGAGAACAACAAAGGTGCTCTCTCCCAGGCAGACAATATAAGTATTGAATCCATGAATATCTATCAACAGCCCCACTGGGCTGTTTGTGTTGGGCAGATATCAGACTGCACGCTCTCAGAGAAGGCTTTCTTCTTCCAGCAAGACATATCAGATGTCCTAACCTGACAGATTGATGTGAAGAGCCTATGTACAAATTCCTCACTTTTACTACAGGGAAATACAAAACCAGGGCTGAAGAGGCCAGACCAACCCTGTTGCTTCCTAACCTTGACTTCGCATGCAACCTGATGTCTTTCCATTTCCCCTTTATGCCTGTAGCTAAACTAATGGCTAATCCTGTTTGGCCAGGAGCATACATTAAACAAGTGAGACTGTGTTCCCTAAAATAGCAGCAGTTGGTATGTTACTTTAGATGATTAACCTTTTTGTATTCCATCTCCTCAAGAAATTAAACCTTACTTCAACCCATTGTGCTCTCTCACCAATCCAATCTGTCACCAGTGTAGACAACCCTCACTGAATGTTAAACACTTTCATAGAGCTTGCAGACAGCTGGAGTCAGTTCCTCTCCTAACATTGTGGAAATGTAGAACCTTATTTAAATGTATTATTAGATCTTATGTATTTAGTTTCTCTCTGTCTCTGGAGTGTCTCATGAAGAATGTTACATCAATATCAGCTCCTGGGAAGTTATAATGCAATCTGGGAAAAAA